ATATGTTACATTTGTTACATTTTGATCATGTTTTCCTTCTCTCCCAATTCCTCTTAGAGTCTTCCCACCTGATCCACAACTTTGGGTTCTTTTTCTCTCTTTCAATAATAACAAGAAGAGGAGGAGGAGAAGGAGGAAAAGAAACAATAACAAAACAAGAAACACAGAAATTCAAAATAAACAAGCAAAAGACCAATAAGACCAAAAAAAAAAAAAAAAAGCCAAATATAAGGCAACATGAAACCAAAAAATCCACAAAAAATACCATTGAGTTCGTTTTGCATTGACCAACTATTCCTGGGCATGGGGCCTGCCCTGGAGTATGGCAGATAGACTAGTGAAACTCCATTGGCAAAAACTGATTTTCCCTTTGCCAGTGGGCATCAACTGTAGATAGCATCCTGGCTAGGGGTGGGACCCCGGAGGGACCCCCCATATTTATTCTCCCTTCAGTGTTAGAACCCTGTGTGGCTTGAATCTGTGCAGGTCTCATTCCTGCTGCCACATCCTCATACGGATCCGTCCTGCTGGTCTGGAAGACATGGTTTCTGGAGTCATCCATCCCCTCTGCTTCTTGCCATCTTTCTTCCTACTCTTCTACATAGATCCCTGAGTCTCCAGGGGAGGTGTCTGATGAATAAATATCAGTTAGGACCATGAACCACTCTCTTTTGAACCTTCTACCACACAGAGACACAACAAAAAGGTAAGAAACCAATCCTCAATGGACACTGAATCTTTACTAGGTGTCCTAAACCTGGCCTTGCCAGCCTTCGGAACAGTGCAAAATACATCTCTGTTGTTTTTGTTGGCTGTTCCATTGGCTTGGAGTGATAGTGGTTTTTGTGTGCATCTGCGTTTGTGTTTGGGTGAACATGATCACATAGTTGTGTATGTTGAGGCCAAGGATCAACTTTGGCCACTAGCCTCATGCTTGTTGTTGTTTGGTTCTGGGAAAGTCAAGAATAATGCAGTTGGCTAGATTGTGTCCTCAGACATCTTTGTTTACAAGTTAATCATGCAGTTTCGCTTCCACCAAGGAATGTGTTGTCTTCCACTTTTCTCAAAACTCAAAGCCTTCTTGTGCCGATCTTTTCTCATCTTCATAGGGCATGGCTATACACATAAGTCTCCCGTTTTGTTTTGTTTTTTTGTTTTTGTTTTTTACTTCTGAAAAGACAACAGAGCAAGCCCCTAGCTAACAAGCACTCGGTAGAGGGGGAAGGGGTCCAAATTCCGTGGCAGAATGGCAGACTGCTGTGGTGCAGCTGACCCAGTCCAACCAGAAATGTGGGCTCAAAGTTCTTAATCATTCCATTTTGCAAAAGGCATGTCTTATGCAAAATTCCCAGATCTTTAAATGTTGCAAACTCTCCAGACAGAGTGACTCAGGCTTGCAATCCCAGCCCTCAGAAAGCCCAGGCAGTAGGAGTACTTCAAGTTGGAGACCAGCCTTGCTACACAGCAATATGCTGTCTCAGTAATCATTGTCATAATACATCCTAATAAACTAACATGTTTTCTTTATCTTTCTTCTTTTTTTTTCTTTTTTAAATTAAGATCTCACTAAGCAGCCAAGATTGGCCTGAACTCAACGATGCTCCTGCATTATCTTCTCAAGTGGATTATAGATATGTACCACCAGAGATTCTTCTGTAAATAGGCAGTGATGGCCAGAATGGTGATTCCAAGGAAAACATACCTCTGAGCAGAGGAGCCTGTGATCTTCTAGCTTATAGCCTTTGCCTAAACACTGCTTTAAAAAAAAAAAAAAACTGTAGCCAACACACATAAAATATAAAAGTTACCATTTTCAGGGTGGTGAGGTAATCCTGCAGGTAAAGAACGGCACTGGCTGACAAGCCTGGTGACCTTGCATTCCATCCCCGGAACTCGAGTAAAGATGCAAGCACAGAACCAGTACCACAAATTCAACTCACCGTGTTGTTCTCTGACTTTCATAGGTGCACACACAAAATGATAATGATGATGGTGGTGGTGGTGAAGGTGATGTTGGTGATGATGTTGGTGGTGGTAGTGGTGGTGATAGCGGTGGTGGTGGTGGAGGTGATGGTGATGGTGATGGTGGTGGTGATGTTGGTGGTGGTGGTGGTGGTGGTGGTGGTGGTGATGGTCACAGTGGTAGTGATGATGGTGATTTTGATGGTGGTGGTGGTGATGGTGATGATTGGTGGTGGAGGTGATGGTGATGATGGTGGTGGTGGTGATGGTGGTGAAGGTGATGTTGGTGATGATGTTGGTGGTGGTAGTGGTGGAGATGATGGTGGTGGTGGAGGTGATGTTGATGATGGTGGTGGTGGTTGATGGTGATGATGTTGATAGTAACAGACTAAAAATAAATTAAAATACTCTCAGTTTAACCATTTGCTATGGTCCATGTGGGGGTATTTCATCAGAATTCATATGCTGAACCCTAGTCACCGATGGTTTAGATGGTTTAGAAGTTGTAACTATTGGAGGCCATGAGATCAGGAAAGTGAGACACCAGTCCACTCCCCCCCCTTTTTTTTTAATTGGCCAAAATGTTTTCATATGTTACATTTGTTACATTTTGATCATGTTTTCCTTCTCTCCCAATTCCTCTTAGAGTCTT